CCCCCTCGTCAGGCAGCACTGTCTTTGCGGCTTGAAAAATCAGCTGCAAAATTTAATAGCGTGGAAGGTCTCCTTACATCTTTCACTTCTCTCTAATGTCAAAGACAAAATTCACTAAGCCGTTATAGGATAAATAAACATCCTTATGGTTTCCGTGTCTCACATGACATTCAGTGTTCTCTGAAACTCTACAGCCTTGAATGGCTTGCATTTTAGAAATTTGAGTGAGGCACTGTCAATAACAAAGTTTTTAAATATGCTCTGCTATAAAATGTCAACAGCTTAATTGCTAACCAAGGTGTACCTTTTAAAGCAAGCACATATTGCACATATACAATCAAATAACCCTCGCCAATGTCATAAATATCATGGCTGTACAATATACATAGATTACTCAGTGACCAAAAATTAAAAATCTCTGAGTATGTTTACATAGCATAGGTTATTTTTGAAAAAGCACCCATCAGTAGGAGCACGTGTGATATACAGCATCATAATGCCTTGTGATAATTCATGATCTGTTGAACAACCAAGTTTTGAATAAGAATCCACACACACATTCTTGCATGAATGATAAAGTACTTTCCAAATGCATCACTTAGTGTTTTTAAATTATACTAAAGTGCATTTGGATGGTCTCTATTGCACTCAGTTCTCCTGAGCACCAAAAAAAAAAAAAAAGCTAAAAAAGCTTTTATTTTTAAGAATTATCTGTGTTTAACTGTTTAACACAGCTTCAGATCTTCCATTGTTTGTTTGAAAAAACATAGTGCTATAATTCCTTCTCACTGGTCCAGTTTTGCCTGTGTTCTCAAACACACACATGAATTGCATGGATCTCAGAAAATGTAAATCTTGGGGAACCTGGGCTTTTATCACTCTGTAAATAAAAGTCCTGCACAAATGTGTTGTCAGAATATATGTTTTGTGCACTAGTTAAAGACTTAGGTAGCCCTAAGTTTCATCTTTCCTTTTCTGTGCATGCCATGTCCTTAATGTTTGCTTAAAGATACTTTCTTTTAATTGTTCTCCTTAACAGAAGATAAAGTCCTCAGGACTTAGTTCACCATGAAAGGCTTTTTAAGAAATTGGCAAATCTTCATGTTTTATTCAGAAGTCACCAAGGCTCTGTCCTGGAATCTCATCTACTCTGGTCATACAAGGTTTTACTAGAAATGTGAAGAAAAAATTGATATTTTTAAAGTCTTGGTAGACTAAAATATATGATAGCTGTGTTCTATATGGGGAAATGATTACGTTTATTTTTCTAATTCATATATAAAAGTTACAAATCCCAATTTTACTACATCTACTGCTGCTATCCGATTTATTTGTAGACATGGGAAAGATAGTGTTGTTACTAGCTGTTGGATATTTCAGCTACTTGCTTGATTGTTTCATTAGGTGAATAAACAAATGAATATTCCCATGTTTAACACAAGAGGTCATACTAATCACACAGCATTTTACAAAACTAATCAGCTAGAGGTTTTATTTCAGTTCCATTGTCCAACCTGGGATATCTCATCACAGTTTCAAGGTCTAAAATAAGAATTGTTGAGAGTTTGCATTTTCATAGCTAAAGAGGTAAACCTTCCTCTCTATGACATTGATTAATGAGCCGGAATAGAAATATGCTATTTAGTCTAACATCTCCCTTGTAAAATAATTTTTAAATAATTTTAAAAATGAGTGTATTTATTTCCAGAAATAAAATACATTCTTCAAGTGAATTGAATTGTTATATTCTTTCGTATCACAAATAAATTAGCATGGGCAGCTTTGAGCTGCTAAATCATACTAAACTAATAACAGTGAACCCCTATGAAACAAACATCTGTTTGGGATTGGGGGCTTTGGTTTTTTTCTACCTTTTCATTATATGCTGGATGGAAGTGCTCATACTGATTATCATACGTCCTGCTGCTTCTTTGCCAAAGAGGCTGTTTTTTCACACATGTATTTGTGTGTGTATATGTGTACATGCGTGTGTGTGTACATGCGTGTGTGTGTACACCTTTGTATAAAGTAAGAGAAAGCAGATCTCATTTGATAATGGTGATTATTGGAGATGTTTGGAAAACAGAATTTTTTTCTAACCCCACTAATTGCAAGGACAAGATAAATACTGTTGAGCAAAACTGTATCAATAGCAGGACAGGAAGCTCAATAGACACAGGAAAAATTAGATTTCTGAGAGGAAAAAAGCACTGTGAAATATTTGAAGTGAGAGCTAATGGCTAGTTATTTGAAAAGCTCACATAACAATATCCAATGGAGATGCAACACCTACAGGCTACAATAAAAGGTATTATAAAGCTATTTTGGCTGTTATCCTATTGCCCCTACTCATGCCAGACTCCTGCTAAAAGCACTGAGAATTCCACACTCATAAAAACGTCAAAAAATATAGAAATATAGTAATGAAAAGGAAAGAAAAGGAATGGGGGGAAAAAAAAGCCTAGGAAATTCCATTCTGTAACAGTATTTTGAACTCAAAGCATATTCTGCACAAGACCTAGGAGTTTCTGGAAAGCACCGAAGGAAACAGCCTTCTCCAGTTCAAAAAAAGCAAGCGGGTATGTAACTCTGTGTATACACAGAAGGATGCCATTCAGTGAAAGCAGAGTCACGTTAATAAAAACAGAGGTAACACCGACAGCAGTATGGTATCATGAGATCATTCAGGGGTATCCATGCAGCAATAAAAATGCTTTGTGAGACAACACCAAAATGACTGCCAGGACAGTGGCATGGAAACTAACCATGTGAGCCACGTGTGTAAATTACCTTTTGCATACCATCTGGCAGGGCTTTTACTCACCAGACATCTCTGACGTTCACCCCAGCAACTTCTGTTATCAGGTTGCCCTAACTGGAATCCCACCCCTGCTGGACCTGTGCCCATTTCAAAGACCTTTTGATGATGTTCCACAGTAGTTGGGGAAGGAGAAGAAATACCAAATAATGACTCCGTGCAGATAGTACAGCTACATATTAGAAGAAGGCATACTTTACTGTTTCTACTTTTGATTTTATACTGTTCCACTCATCTACACTTCTGCTTCTCCAGCATATCACCAATGAAAATGCAGATTCACTCCACTTCAAAACCTTCATCTATTAGCTGGGAAATATAGGATACAAAAGATAAGGACACGGGATTGACAGCTCTAAAATGCTAACCAAAATTTTCAGACGTGAGGATGCTTAATTCATGGGGGTGCAGCTTGAAGAATATCTAGAATTGCTGCAGACCTTTCCTCCCGTCAAGGGGCCTTCCTCAAGGGCTGGAGTTTTTTTGAATTTTTTTCAAACAAAATTTTTTATTACTATTAAACATGTTGAAAATATTGGATGGGGTCCACAAAACAGCTGGGAAAAGTATTTCTTCCCTTAATTCACTTTTCCATCCTTTCTGGATATTTTTATAGCACTTGGAGATCACACAAACTTAATGACTTCTTTTCTTGCTCCTACTTTTTTCTCATTATGAAGGGATACTGCCACCTACAAGGAATTTCTTAGGTAGCTAATGGCATCAGCATTAATACTATTTTGCACAACCGTTACAGGTGCTCAGCGGGTGACTATTACATTATGTTTACTCTGACTGCCTTTTATTACTCTCACAGAACTTTAAATCAGTTCAATTACTGTCATCATGCAGTATTTCTGTTTCAGCCTATGCAAAAGCACAGAGTGACTGGGGGGGGGGGGGATATTAAGGGGTTTAAACTTCTTTTTTCCCTTTTCAAGTGTTTAAGCTTACTTTTAACCTTGCAGAAACCAGTATTTGAAGAATGTTGACCCAGTGAATCCAGTGAGACAGTGTTTACATCTAAATATAAGATCATACCTTGCAAAGTTGGTAGTGCACAAGTTGAAGATGTTAGCAGCGCTTTTCCTCTCCATGAAATATGCCATTTCTGATTCATGTAGCAATTGATTCTGAATAATTACATTTCATTTGCCCATATTAAAAAAAAATATATATTTTGTTCATTGGTACTTTGCCCTCACTGCTTCCATTTTACCATCGGAACATAGTTACTATGGATTTGCACTGGCGTTGTTGTATTTGGAAAATTCATTCTAGGTTACTTAATAACATGATCCTTTATTAGGCTGTAAAATGCAAGAGATGGACTTTGCTTTTATCAGGTGGCAAATGTGTGGTGTGTATGATTGCTTTCAAATCTTAAACACACTGTAGGTTCTTCCAGTCAGTAGCCCTCCCAACTCAAAACATGTATAAGTGTAAGGTTTGCTTCTTTGGTTGTGTTTACTGGGGGCTTTTTTGTTTGTTTCTGCAGTCCTGATTCACCAAAGGACTCTACAACTCCAACAGCACATTCAGATCCCACGTCATGAAAGTCCATTTGCTCCTTGTTGTCATCATCATGCCTAAAGCCTTTTGGATACATTTATAAGACACACACACACAAATATCAGTTTATGTTGTGGTCCTGTTTGCAGAAATCGTGTCTCTAACAAGTTTGGAAAATTTATACGCATGCAGAACAAATGGAAGCAGGGAAAAGGTAGAAGGCAATGTCCAATTTTATGTTACCTGCAGTCCTACTTTCTACTCTATATGCACTTAATTGTATTTATGTGGTTGTTTTTCTAATTTATGAGATAGCTGACTTGAGGAACGAGTTTGGGATAGAGGAATGGGGCAGTCACTGAGGGAAGAGCATCTCACTCCTTCCTGCCTAGCTAGGCTTGGCTGCAGCACCTTCTTTTCTCCCCTCCCCTTCACATTACTCCTTCTCGCCCTTCCCTACTGCAGAGGAGACGGGATGCTTACTCTGATGGTACTTGACAGTGCCTCTGGGTCAGGTGGTGGAAGACAGGGAAGACTTCTACGGCTCAGCTTTTGTCAAAGTAGGAAGTTATTCAATCGATCTGTGCTTCAAGCCGGCTCTGGCTTGATAAACTCAGTGATGGAGCAACTATTTGAAGTGACATTCCAGAAAATGATGGGAAGTTTTATGAAATTTTCATTTTCTGAAGTGTAATTCTTCTCACTTGTCTCCTTTATCCCTTATATTTCCGTACTACTCAAACAAAAATTAACTGTGTTTTTAGGAAAGGACTAGGCAGTTTTAATTATAAAAACTTAAGTTTAAGGAGAAAGGGCATAAGGCTTTTCACATAGCTCATAAAATCTTATCCCATTCAGAAAACATTTCTATAGAACTGAACTTCCTTCCAGCTGGGTAAAAGCCATCTCTGCAACCCAATAAATCAGATTACTAGCTCTTGTATTAGCAAAGTGACATTTAAAAATACATATAACACTGTAGACTGCTTTAAAAAGTTAGGATAGCCAGACCATTTCTCAAAGGAGAAAACATATTTTTTTTTTCATTCTGTCTACAAATTCACACATTCAAAATATATTCTACCTTAGAGTAGTCTGATGCAGAAATGGGAAATACATGGACAGTATGGTTTTTTCACTCCTGACTAGCATTTTAGATTCTTTATCTTTTTGGAAGGTCAAAATTAATTATGAAATCTCTGCTGTAACTATTATAAAGTATGTCCTAGAAGTTCTTTCTCAGGCTAATTTTTCTAATATTAAAAATGTATCAGTGTTCAAGCTGGTCCGAATAAAACTAGTTTTTCTGTCTCACAGAAGCCTAGCCTCTGGAGAAGAAAGCCACCCATAGGCATGGTAGGAATCCATTTTCCCCTTTGCAATCATTACTGCTAAACAAACAAGGCACATAGGTAAGAGATCTTTCTGTACCATCTTGGGAAACAGATGTCAGTGTTGAAAGCAACAAGTCCTCAAATTGTCACATACTACTCGGTAAGGCAGTTTCTTTCTAAGGACAGAATTCCAGTATTCAGCCAGCCATGTTCTCTGAAGGGTGGAGATGCAATGTCCACCTGCACCTCCATGCACCGTGTTTCTAGGCACCTGACCCTCACTGTAGAGCTCAAGCACATGGATTAGAGGAGTTAGCAACCCCGTATGCAGAGCTTGAGCTAGTCAGGAATATGAACTGAGGATAGGAACATGATCTCAAGACCAACACTTAATCAACGACTCTCTTGTTCAGGAGAACTCTCTTCTGATGGGGTAGGAGCCTAAGCATTTTCTTTTAAACACCATCAGCTGTTGTGTCCTCCTCTTAAATGTAAGCTAATTTCTTCACTACATAAACACAGTAGGGAAGAAAATGTGATTTTCCTTTCTGACAGCCTGGATGGACTCACACACACACTCGATCTCAGAGAGCAGGTCCTAAAAATCAAGCTGTATCATAGCTGGGGGAAGGGACAACCAATCCCTCCCCTTACA